TCTGGCAGTGGGAATGTTGGAACTGTTTCCAGCCTTTTGAAAGCAATGAGCTCCTCCACTCCCAGCCCTGCTGCTAATGTACAAGTGATGTGGTGGGGAACTTTTTCAATATAAGAATACTCTTTTTTCTCCATTGACTCAGCCCTTGCAATTACCCAAATCTAATGCAACCATAGGTTTTCAATGTAATGCTGTACTCCGCAACAGCTGATTATTAAAAAATAATGCCATCAAAGTAGCTGACATCTTTATGAAATAACAATATAATGTTAATAATATATAAATAATGTAATATAATGTCTTACTTGTAATAAATAATGTTTCAGAAACTGAGATTGGTTTTATTTACTGTTTACTGCTGCCCTGCTCCCTAGATACTCACCATTAGTATTTATTAGTAGGAGAACATACATATATGTTCTCCACTGTGCTTTTTTTCCCCCCACAAACTCACAGTAGAAGCCATTACCTAGCCCAGATTATTTCACTATCTGACTGGAACACAGATAATAGAGAGCACTATACAGTATCCAGAGGCTGAGAAGTCACAGGTCTTCAGCAACAGAGGAATCTTGGACCTGTTAATCAATAGTTTGTCAAAACCACTTTCATAGTCCATGGAGAAAAGTATCTCATTCCATCCTAAAAGAAACCTTTTAAATAGTGCAGTTCCCTGTTTTTTTCCTACTGACTATAGAGGGAATTGTAACAGCAGCCTCATTATTGTTCATCTGACGTTAGGTGAGATGCAGTTCAATTTCAGTCCTTTCATTTAAAATGCTTCCTTTTGCCTTCCTCATCCAACCTGGCACAGGGACTGCAAAGAGATGTAGTGTAGTAGGCTTCACTGCAGTGGCAGGGTGTGCTCTTAACTATCACTTTTTGTCCTGCTTTGTCATACAATGATTTTTCACCCAAATTAAAGAAAAGAAAAATATATCTTTTGAAGAGTCTCTATGCTTTTCCTTCAAAAAAGGCTATTCCTTGGTGAGGAGACTTGAGTCGTAAATCTCAGATTTCTTTTCCTGCAGGACTCAATGTTGCTGTGATATTCAACCAGCTTGGGTTGTGGCAGGAGTTGAGTGATTCAGTTCTGATACTGCTTTTGTCCCATCAGACAATTTCAGTAATCAGTAAGTTAGTGATAGTTAAGGCCATAGTTAAGTTATTCTACTTGTAGAGGTAGGTGCCAGATTTTATAAAGCAGGAATTGAGATTCTGAACAGAAACATTCTTTTCCACCTCATTTAGCAAAATGTTAGAAAGTAACTTTGCCCTCCCTTAACTTTTGCTTCTGTGACTTCTGTTAGTCAGTACTGAATTTATTACTATTCATAACTGTGGCCTGAAGACCACCCATGTGGCAAAGACATCCTCTGTGGCATTTGGCTCTGTGTCTGTCAAGGATAATTGGTGATGGAAAAGGAAGGGAGTAAGTGTTCATTTTACTTAGCACTTTTCTAAATCAAGCCTGAAAGGAGAAAAGTACTAGTAAAGAGGGGGAGCATAGAAGGGAATGTTATTTTATTCATTAAAATAAATGTCTGGAGTTTAAACATGTCGACAGGCTGAAGCTCTGTTCTGTGAGACACCGAGCGCCCTTGAACCCCTTTGATGTTAGTGGTAGGTGAGGTAACTCAGCACTCCATGGGATTGAACCCTGAGTATTCTCCTGAAGAAAAGTCACAAATAAGAAGGATGCCCATGGTTTTTGAGCTGAACTCTATTTCTATCCTTCTCTATCTGTCTCCTAGATCCAGATTTATCTAGATGTATGGTTAATTCATTTGAATAAAAGATACGCACACTAGAAGATTCAGTGTACAGTTCAGCATGGTATCTTTCCAGTTCAAATAGATGAAGGGAAATGGCTCATTTCTCAGAGCCACGCTCTTGTTATTCCATCGGACAACAAGGGAGGCAATGCTTGTGTAATCCAGGCTGTTTGTTGTGTACTCCAGTCTTGACACATTTTCCTGAATTTGGCAAACAACTCCTGTAAATAAAGGAACTTCTGGAAGTAAAAGGAAGGTGGAATTCGATCCCTGAGGGATTAATGGTGTAGTTATTTTTGAAAATATGAGGCATCTGCAGAGATATTTCTCAAATTATTCCTTGCAGCAATTCTCACACACCATGATATGAAATTTCAGAAATACATTGCTGGTTGCCTCAGCTTTTTATCATGTTATTTTATGTCAGTAAGTTGCAAAATCTAGACTTCTCTGGTCTTGTGTTTGAGCATTCTCATTGTAAATTCTTTTCCTTATATCAAGTATCCATGGCTCCTCATCCTTTCACTGTGAATTGTTGGAAATGCTTTGGCTTTTCTACCCTACACCTACCCCATAGGTAATGGCAGAGTACAATGATACAGAGAGTAACAAGATCAGGCTGTTTGACAGAAGCTGTGCAACTTCATTGGTGTCCAGGTTTTGTTTTGGTTAAACCCTAAGGTATATCAGTATTTGAATGGAAAATGAAAAATCCTTTGAGGAGAGGGATCATCTCCATATTTCCTGTCTGAAGATGAAACTCTACACCTGCCCAGCCAAGGGCCTAATGTTTGTGATGCTGTTGGATTTGCAATGGATGTCATAATTTTGTTTTGTCCATTCAGAGGACTGGATGACAAATCCCTAAGTGGAAAGGGCTGTGTACACTGCTGCTGCATAGCCAAACTGCATATGAACATGCTTGGGTAAACATGTACACACACAGTATAATTTTAATATTATACATTGTACAGACAGTAATCAGATTGCCGACTGTTGTTATGTTGTATACTTAGTGAAAGTTGATATTTTGCATTGTTTTTTAACAGAAGAATTAGTGACTGGGTGCCTTTGATTTCAGTATTGATGAAATCAGGGAGAAACAATTAATGTCTCTTATATGAACTAATTGCAAGCATTTATAATATTGGGTAAAAAGTACTTGCAGGTTTCCCATGTTGCATGTGGAAATGATTGTCTGGTGCTAATCTGAATTTTATATACATTTTTTTAATTAACCTCTTATTAAACAGTCAGAAATCCCTCCGTTCCTTTGCTATCAAAACTCAAGTGTCTTTTAATGGCACTGATTTCAATTTCCAATTAAATCAAATGAAAGAGAGCCATTACAGGAAGCGCTTTGAAGGTGATACTGGGAGAATAACAATATTTTTCAAAGAAATTTCAGAGGTTAAATATGTGCACTTGCATAGCTCAATACTGTATTTACTCTAAAAGTGACTTCTCTTGGTAGGTTGATTTCCATTCTGAATAATGTAATGTGAGGGTCTTTAAGAATCCAACAAAAAAAATCTCTTCAATAAAAGCTGGACTAATAGGCACCAGAATCAGTAGCAAAACTCCTACCAAGTTAAATAAAAACAATGCTTTTGTGTTGTGTGATCAGACTTCCTCACTGTAAAGCAGGTTACCCCTCCTTTCCATCCTTCCCTACTTTCTCTGTGTTTTTGTATCAGCTGTATGATCAAGTGATGGAAGGAACAAAGATTTACCCTCATGCTAATTGAAGAAGTCTTGGCTGGAGACAGCTGGTTTGCAGCATCTTTGAAAACAGTATGAAAATGGATTTTGAATAAGTCATCAAATTTCAACACTAAAAGCAAATATAGTTGATCATGCAAATTTAATAGAGATTGAAAAAGGAAGAAAACAAAAACTATGAAGTCTAATATAATCAACTGAAAAAGGTCTAACACCTGAAATATAATGAAGAAAACTCTGAAAACAAAAATGCAAAGAAGTTGAGAAGTTGTAGGTAGGTAGATTCTTTGTTTTACTCTGGGTGAGAAGTAGAAGGAAACTTTAATGCCAAATCTGCTCATAGTCTGCCTATTACTGCCATGTTCCATAGGTTTTTGTTCAGTCATGGATTGCTGCTTTTGAGATCAACCAAAGTATAACTCAGGGTTTATGTTGGATTATTTACTTATTTATTTTTGTTAGAGAGCTGTGTATAGGAACAGCTCTTCTTTCCCAGGTATGATTGCTAGAGATTGTTTTGTGTCTGGCTGAGATGGAGTTCATTTTCCCACAGCAACACTCACTGTGCTGGTTTCATTGGTAGCTAGGAAAGGTATTGTTTACACACCAGTGCTTTTTAGCTGCTGCTGGGAAGTTCTGACCCAGCATGAAAAAAATAATATAAAACCTTAGGAAGTTTGGACAAGACAAAACACAAAGCAGATTCTCCAAGAAGACAATAGAACTATTGCCAGAACCCAGATTCAAGCTAACTAAACGTACTAAACATAGCTGTGTACTACACTAAACTTGCACTAAATGTGACCAAGCATACTGAAGCAAACTTAGGGAATCCTTACTTTAACCCATAAAAATTTTAATAATTTCATAATATCATGACAAGCAATATAGCCAAACAAGCTTGTTCTGTACAAGATGTGTGAATTATTATATAAATTATTATTCATGAAGAACAGTAAATTATTTTAATCACATTTTCTGTATTATGAAAATTCTAAAAAGTGGTGCTGCAGGCAAATGAATGGCCATGGAAAGAGTGATCATTCATTCCAATCTTTTTTTAATAAACTTTATTCAAATTAAAGGAAAAATAATTAGGGGGAAGCAAGTATCTAAAGTCCATGTCTGTGAAATGACTATACACTTTAAAAGGACATCAGAAGCCTCTTCAGAGCAAAATAACATTTCTAGTATTAAATCTTTAGACCAGGGCCAGAGACAGTAACATCTATCTTTAGTAAGTTGATTAAAATTCCTTGAACTCTAATACCAATTAATATATACTTTGAAACTCCTCACTTTACAAACTCACAGCTCTATTTTGAGTAAATATATATGCCAGACTGCAGTAAAATACAGTGAATATGAAAGCTTTATTTTTATTTAAAAAGTGGAAAGATAGATCAATGGCTTGGCTAAATGAAGCCAGGTGAAGGTTGACCTTCTAGATGTTAATAAATGGAGTTTAATCTAAATGGGTATTTTTGATATTTCATAAAACTTGGGGGAACAAACTAGACAAGCTCCAGAAAAAATTTTGTTCCCATCTTGTATGTGTGCTCCTATATGATCACTAAGATCAGTAGTAAGTGGGCATTCCTAACAGCATTCCAAGAAAGGTATTTTACCATTTTTATTTTATGATGTTTAGAAACATCCTGAGTTTATGCTTCGACTGAGAAATATTTTTCTTTTCACAGTTTTTGTTTTGAATCCTTCCTGCCATGTCCTTAAAATGCTCTCAGTTCCAGTTACAACATACTTTAAAGGACAACTTTGAGATGTTATTTTGCTGTAAGAATAACAATAGTAGTGTCTGTATAGAGGAGAAATGCTTAGCCTGCACTATGCTCCACACTGTCTTGATTAAACTGCTACAATACCAGGAGCAGCTATTTTAAAAATAGCTGAGATGTGTAAGTTTGTGACTGAAGTATAGACTCAGTCTTTGAGTGGTCAATTAACATGGATTTCATTATAATCAAAACATGCTAAGCCTCACGAAGAAGAAAGGGATCAGGATAGCATCTTATAAGTAGGATTTTTTTATGAAGGGCACAAAGAGAAAAGAAGATTTATGCCAAGAGCATATACATTTATTTCATCAATAACATGACATAGCACATCCTGAAAAAAGTGTTCAATACAGGCAATGTTCTCTAGGAAGGGTACCAAAATGAATATGTTAAGCTAGAGGGCTATTCTGCATGGGGCCAAGCTTAGGTGAAGTGAATTCCTCACAATGGTTGTTGTAAATGGGAAGGTCAGCAGCCTCTCTTTTTCACTAGACAGATGAAATGCTTTGTGGAAGCCAGCAGGAAAATAGCATAAAAGAATTAAAGGTATAGCTATTGTGAAGCATTATTTTCTTAAAAGAACCTGGGCCACATGTTGATTAAGAAGGTAGCCACAGACTCTATCACTACTGATTTGCTTCTGTCATATTTTCCTTAGAGCTATTTCTCTATCACATGCACACAGAAAGAAGAGCAGAACTTGAGGTCAGGTCATGGCTTATTCAGCCTGCAGGAAACTGTGCTGATACCCTTTTGGCATGACATCCACAGCCAACTGCACTTAGAAAAGAGATGGTTGCATGGAGACGTATTTCTTCACTCTGGTGACCAGAGAGTGCAAGAGTGGGAAATACATAAAGTGTCTTTGCACCTTCAGTGTGCCTTCTGACAGAAAATATGGCAGGGGGGATAATGCATGCATGCAGACTGATGCTTGTTCTTCTCTTTGAAGAAGCTAAGTTTTAGCCTGTGACCCACTAAGTGACAATTTCCATTTCAGGTTGATACTGCAGAAATGCAACTGCTCTGTATGCTGGGCTGGGCTGAAAGCAGCAGCAATGAATACCCTCCAGTATTTAGCCTGTCATCTCTCCCCACCTTTCCTTTCTTATTAAGAAGATGATGCCTTTCCCATTTCAGTGAAAGGTAAGACCCCTGCAGACCGCACAGAAGCTGGATCATGCTGCAACACGTTTAATGTTACAGGACAGCACAGTGTTGCCATCAGAACTAATCCCAGCAGCAGCATATCAAATCACCGCATTTCCATTTAGCTTTCGTCAGTATCATACACAGACAGATATGGATTTGGTCTGGGGAATGGCATTTGCCTTTGAAGTAATTTTTTTTTTTTCCTTCTACATCATGCATTCAGCACTAATAGAAAGTTCATTTTCAGGAATGAATTCCATTTCGTTGCTGAGCATGTATCAACTACAATGCTTATCAGCAGTGTGATAGGGAAATTTTAGGTTTTCTCTTCTGCATAAACCTCGTCTCTTTTTCTCTGCTTTGCATAGCTGTTCATTTTGACGTGTGGCAACTTAGTTGCTGCAATTGTTCCAGAGATTGCCTTGATATTTCCTCTTTTGTTGTGATAATAGAACCACTACTCTCTCTTACTTTGACCTTGTATTATTTAGTCAAGGTTTTCAAGCTCCATATTCTTCTGTATCGGCAATCCTAATTTTTGTAAAGCCTTAATTACAGATTAGCCCTTCTGCAGCACTAAAAATGAGCATGTTTAGGCTGTTTTATTACATTTCTCGGAGAGAAGCCTAACATTATTCTTTTGTTGTTTTCTTTTTTTTTTTCTTTTTGTTTTTTCTTTTTTTTTTCTGGTCTAGTAATTGGTCACTATTGAATTTAATTTGCCCTGGTATTTCAGTCATGTGTCTTGGAACAAAGTCAGATATTTACTTTCTTCCAGGTTTGGTCCTGCTACTTCTGTGTTGATTTTTTGGTTAGACACAGGTAGTTGTGGCCAAGTCAGAACTTGTATCTCTTTTCTTGGCTTCCACAGCAGAATAATCTATTTTGACATACAGTTCATTTTTCTTTCATTGGGGTGTTTTCTGCTATCAATATAATTTGGGATGCTGATGAGTATACCAAGTATGCTTTTGCCCCTTTTGAAAACACAGCCTAGAATGGGAATCATTCAAGCACTAGTGTGGGCTTCAAAATAATGTTTTAAAGGAGAGCACAGACAGACTTGAGTAACTGAAAATCTATGCAGTACATTTTTATGGTTTCTGTTGAATCAAAGTCACTTTTATCAATATTCACATAACCACCACAGGTACCCAGCATTCTTTAGCTCTTTAACCACAATATCTGAACAAATTTTGTGGTAGCTTTGTAGCTGAATCTTTTATAGTAGGATCTTGTTCTCTTCCTTGAATGCTTTCTTTTTACATGCCTTCCTTCTCCAGATCATAAAATCTGGGTGTACAGGGGAGGAACTCTTCCTGCATAATGATTTGTCTCAGTTTAAGGTTAAAGATGGGAGACATTGTACCATAGTACTGATGCAGGCTTTTCTAAACTTTCTGTTAGCACTGTGTATGAGGAGCAGATATGCTTATTGTTTATGTAAGATTTCAATTATTTCTGAATTGTACTAGGTTACTGATCTTGTAGCAAGCTGTTTAAAAATAAAAATGTGATATGCAAAAAGATAATTCTGTTAATCAGATATGCATTTCCACTTTATTAATTTCTTGTTCCTCTTTAATTTTCATGAAAAATTTCCCACCTTTAAGTCATTATGAAGTAGAATTTTAGGGAAGCAAAGTAACATTTTTATATATATGCATCTACGTATAAATGTATGTCTCAGTAAAATTTCTTGTGCGTCAGGCTTCCCACATCAACAAATGAATCTGAAATATTCCTTTTTGCGTTTTAAAGTCTCCTTCAGGCCAGATCATGTAGCATATTTTGAATTTAAAATGTAATTTACAACGCTTAGTTTGTTTGTTTGTTTTCAGAAATAAAAGCCATTTGTTTTGTAAGGCATTAGAAATATATCACATTGCACTTTTCTTTCACTTTTTGTTATTTCTGACACTATTTCTAATTTAACCATTATTGTTTGCTCATTAAAAAAAAAAAAAAAAAGCAAACCAAAATCAAGCTAATAAGGAAATAACAAATATACTACCTTATGCAAAAGAAAGAAGAATGCAGTTGTAAACCAGCATTCAGTAACATATATACAGGTCCTATTCAATATTAAAAAAAAAATAAGGACTGTGGAAACATTTATCGTATTTGCCTTTCTTATGACTTAGAAACTTTTCTTAATATAGATGAAATTAAACAAACACACAAAAAGTAAAGAATATATTTTTTCCACTAGACCTGAAAATAATTAGGGAAATCATATGAATAAAACAGCACAGCCATGTAAATTACCTTCCAAGTTACAGCGTAAGCTGCTTTGGATATCCCAAATTATTCTCACTACCAATTCTTTTACTTTTGCAGCAAATTCTGAAATGTAATATTTCATATCAGGCTTAGTCTAGAGCAGATATTTTTTATTATGTCTCACTTAGTATGTTTTGCCCTATTACCATTTTTGGTATAGTCACATTGGTATAAACATTTGTATAAAAATGGTTGTATAAGCAAAATATTCTTCTTATGTGTATGTTGTTTGTTTATTTCTCAATAAATTGATGCTAACTCAATCTATAAAAGAACATTTCCATGGTGAACTATGTCTCTAGCAGAGTGGTTTGCTACTATAATTCTATTGGCATAACTATAATTACAATTCTTTTTGATTGCACACATGGCCTCAGAAGAAAATAGATAGCTGTCTTCATCTCATGTCCAAAAGTCACATTTCACAGCTTAAATTCCATAAATCAGTGGACTATCTCTCAACACAGCAACAAACTAACATTTTGCCTCACTCTATTTCAGGCCCTGGCCTTAATGAACAGTTAATGTCTGGAAACAAAAGTAGAAGAAAATCCGAAATGTTAATCCATTGTGGCTTGAAATTTTTGGAAACCCTCTCATTTTTTTTTATCTGTGGTTTTTTGGGGTTTTTTTCCTAATTTTTCTGGCTTTTTTGTGGTTTTTGTGATTTTTTTTGTTTTGTTTTATTGTTTCACTTTGTTTTGTTCTCATTTCATGCATCCCTCAAATTCCTTGTTGCATCTTAACAATTTTTTTGATATTTCCTTGTTTAAGGGAGGGAAAAACATAGGAAAATAAGGCTACTTTTAATTTATTACCCTTTATGTATTAATATAAATGATTTTTAAAATGACATTTGTTTTCCCTCTAGAACAGTGATGAATACCATAAACTCTTTTTGCATTTCAAAAAATACATAAGGTTATATATAAAATAACTAAGGAATGTGTATTATAATGATCCAGATGAAAAACCTTTAAAAAGTACAAATATTTTAATAGAGTTGTATGATCCATGTTACCTAAAGTAAAACTGAACACTATTAGCATTGCATTAATATACTTGTTTAGAATGGCTTTTTTGGTTTGTTGAGTTTTTCTTAAGACTTGGGAGTAAAGCATACATAGAAATATTGTATACAACTTCCAGAGAACATTCTGCTGGCATTGAAACCTCCAGGGAAGGAAATAGTTTGAGCCATGTTAGCCATATAGACTTGGCAGAAAACAAATGTATATTTAAAGTATAATTTCATCATGAATTAAACAAGCTATAAATGTTTGAACATTCTCTAAGGATATATTTATAAGATTTGTAAACAGTGTACAGTAAACAGAGTAGCATATATAGAAATACAAAGTGATAGGGACAGGTGCCATTCCTATATTTATTATTTGGATCCAATGAAATGACTATTATCTAGCACTTCTATTGAAGAGTTTCAAATTAATTATACTTGAATGCATTAGGAGTGGTTTAACAGATGATGGGCGCTGCCAATGATATGTGTGTGGTACATACCTTACTCAAGAATTATTTATGGTTAGAAAGGCATGTTTCTTTTCATTGTGTTTATATTATTTCCACTTCAACCACATGACATAAAATACAAAAGTGTGTGGAGTTAAAGGGTTGGAAATTAAAAGAGGATTCCGATTTTGTCCTAGTTAGTTCCTTAAGAGTAGAAACTGTTTTTCCAGAGTAAATGTATAAGGTGTTTCATGACTGAAACGCCTTAAATATTTCAGTCATGCTTTCAACACTGAAAATCTGCTTTCCATATGGAATTCATGACATATTCCTTGCAATTCTATGGTGTAGTGTAAAACTTGGCTTGTACCTGAGAAAGTCCAAATGCGTTCATACATTTTTTATCAATTGTTCAAGAATACTGAAAATATAAGTGAAAAATTTAAAACTCCGTTGCAGTAGTCATATTGTAAACACATATAAAAATTCAGCCTCATTCTATACCAAAAGTATGTTCAATTCCTGACTGCTTTCCCACTTTACCTGTTTGTTCTATTCCAGCTACACAGGAAGACATAGCCTGAATTTACCTATGCCATTTACACCTCACTTCTCTTTCAGTTTCTAAGCAGTATTTCAGCTTGGGAGCAAATCAGACTTTTATTGCCATTATGGCTTGGTCAAAACCACAGAAAAGTCAAATTTCCATATTTTTCCTGGCCAGTTGCTTACGCAGACTTCAATATGAACTGTAAGATCGTTTTCTTGAGCTGCAGCTGTTAGTAAAAACCTTACTACTTTTAAAATTGAATTGATACCTTTATCCTTAGTTTAGACAACAGAAATAATAGTGATGGTGCCAGAACACATCGATATAAAGCTTCACACCTTTGAGTCTCTTGGGGCATATGTGCTGGGTCTGTAGCACATTCTGCAGGGTTGGCTGACATAACAAACCAGTGTTTCAAATGGGAGCAGGCTATTTGCCAGTGTCCAGATGTTGTCTACAGATATGTACTAGATTTTTTTTCTCTGGATGGAAATATTCTTTAAAACCAAGCCAGTACAGAGAAGACATAGACCCTTTTTTCATCTCAGCTTCCTGTTTAAAACATGACGGTGAGTTAAAACCATTGTGGACTTAGGTGTCAGAGGCAATTTGAAGCCTGATCTAGGTTTGAATTTACTTTTTTAAGTGGAATACTAATGCTTTCTGGGCCAACCTGTTCAGACCTGTGCAC